TTAATAAAATAGTTTTCTTCTATTCTATAGATCTTTTTAAAGATAAAATTGAATAATTATTTATAAATTATTATTAAATAAATTTCTTCAAATTACTATTATATGTATGTACCGAAAAGTTTTTAGTGATTATATTGTTATAATATTATATAAAATTGTTATTCAATATTGGGATTCTATTTTTTTAGAAATACAAACGAAGCCAAGAAGCTTCATATGCTGGCGGAGCAGGCGCGAGACACGACATTGGAGGCTTACAATCTCGCAAAACAAACGATATCGAAATATTCCAATATAACGTTAGTAATATTTTCTTTTTTCTCTATATCATTTCTAATTATTTATAATATTTAAAATTTATAAATATTATTTATTTATTTAATTTATTAATTTGTAATTACTATTTAATATTTTCGGTCTTCTAATATAATCTGTATACGTAAAGCATTAAAAAAGAGATTCTGTAGGGATGAAATAAGAGATCTGGAGAACAAGTTGGCGCAATTGGAGGATCGTATGGACGAAGTGAGGAATCTCACTGCCATCGCAGCTACCAAGTCCTCAGCTGTTTCTCAGGAAGCGTTAGATTTGCTAATTCTCGATTTAACACTTCCTCCAGTCGATATCGAGCAATTGCGACAGCAAATAGAAAGCGTTAGCAGTGTGGTAATTATGATGTTATAAATAAATACACAGGTTTTATATATAGTATATAGTATATAGTATATGTCATGATGTGTATAGTTTTTCGTTACCGATATATATATATCGGTAACGAAAAACTATACACATCATGACACTCCCCGGAAAATTTTACCCCTATTTTATATACTTTTGGTAAAAATTCGGTCGAATAGTTTAAGAGTGTATAAAGAACACATACAGACATACAGGACATTCTATTTTATATATATACATACAGAATTATAATATATGAATTTGCGTCAAAAAGAACTAATCTAACTGACAATAATTAGAAAAGCTCTCAAGCTATACAATCAATATCATTAACCCGTTGACTGTGTATGACGGCTATAGCCGCAAAAACAAAAGTGGCTAAGAGTGTGTATGACGGCTATAGCCGCAACGTAGAAAACAACAAAGTAAAACTTTCTGAATTTGCTTGAAACTTGTTACTCGGGGGTTTCTGGGGTCGCTGATTACTAATCCGAAGTCAGATGTACAAAATTCAAAATGGCGGATCCAATATGGCGGATCAAAATTACAAAAATTTTGTTTGTACAAGTACAAGTACAAAAAACTGATTTTCATGAAATTCGGTACCCTTATGTTTTTTGGGTCTCTGAATCCGAATATGAAGTCAGATTTTCAAAATTCAAAATAATAATAATAAAATTCCGTCTATTTTTTGTAATTTTGATCCGCCATATTGGACCCGCCATTTTGAATTTTGTAAATCTGACATTCAGATTCGGAGACCCAAAAAACAAGGGTATCAAGTTTCATAATAATCCGATGAACTTTTTTTTCAACACACTTTTGGCCCAAATAGTAAAATTCTTTTACACAGCCAATGGGTTAATTGAGGAAGAATAGGGGATTTTAATGCTCCAATGAAGACTGTATTTTAAAGTCCGACAAAAAATCGGCGCGCAGTTTAGTAGGTTGGAAAAATCTGTGTACTTGGACATACAAAAGAATTTATTATTGCATATTTCTCAGTTTAATAACGACGTGTTGCTCTTATTTTCCTTATGTAATAACATTGATTGTAATTTAACTGATCTCAAAATCTAAGAAATAATATAAAGGTTAATGCTAATACAAAATCTAAATAATCTATGTGTTATAAAATAGAGCTTGCAGATCAAAGAGCAAGCGCAACTCTTATTGGAGCAAAACGAAAATCTTATGAATGAGATGGTTGATAAAGTTAGAAGGAGCGAAGAACTTTTAGATAGAGCTCAAGATCAACAAGCCGCAACGGCCGAATTGTTAGCTGAATTGGATGAAGCCAACGAGACGGCAAATGATGCTGTCAAACGTGGCGATCAGACATTGAAAGAAGCTCAGGAAACCTTGAAGAAATTAGGAGGTAAGTTCTGTGAAAAAATGTAGAAATTTTTTATTCTATGAAATTAGACAAACGGAGAAACTCGTGAATTTTTCAAAATTTTTTTCTTTAAGAAACTTTATTCTGATATTTATATTGTATTAGAATTTGATGCTGAAGTGCGACGTGAACGTGTTAAGGCTCAGAGCGCCTTGCAGGATATCCAAAAGATTGAAGACTTGATTACTAACGCTAGTGCAAAAGCTAGAGAGACGGAGAGAGTGCTAAATGGTTCGGAAGGTAACGCTAAAAGTGCACGCGAAATTGCGCAAAATGCTCAGGTAAAAAATAGTTAAAATTAATTTTTATTTAAAAAACTAAATTATTATATATAATGAAGTTATTACATTTTTCTTTCTTAACGAAAACACTATACTATAACTTATATATCTTTTATTTTTATTTTTTCAATACTTATTTGGTGATACTTATTTTCATTCTTATATTTATTTTATTATATTATACGTTATTTTTTTTTCATTACATGTAAATGATATTATCATTATATATACATATTACTATATTATAATATTATAATTATTACATATTATTTGTACAGACTTACGCGGATAGAGCGAGCACTAACGCGAATGACATCAGAATGGAAGCAAATAAAACTAAAATTGAAGCTCTACGACTTGGAAATGAAGCCGAGAAGTTACATCTTCGAGTTGACACTACGGATTCCATGATCAAACAATATGAGATTCAAATGACCAAGGATGCCAATATCACCGCTGAGGTAAAAATTTAATTAAATCAGTTAAGAGAGAGGAAAAAGGGATAGGAAATAAAACATTAATTAATTAAAGAACAATCCGAGGCTGTTTCTATTTTCTAATTCAATTGTTTGTTACTTAAGACTAAGGCAAATTATAGTACCTAAAACTCTTATTTTTAGGCAAACTATAAAGTTGGCCAGGCGAAAACTAATGTGACTCTGGCGTCACAGCAAGTTGATAAGGCTTTACTAGAGGTTGCCGCAATTATCAGGGAACTCGAGAATCTACCAGAAATCGGTGAGTTCAAATCTCTCTCTACAATCACTTGACCTTTAAATTTTATATTCGTCTATCTCTAATATATATAAAAGTCTATTTCTAGATTTTGTTCTATAGTCATAAATATACTTGTTTATATTATTAGTTATTGCGAGTTTGATCATTTTTCTTGAACAAAACTTTTATTTTGCAATTTAGACGATGCCGATTTGAATCGCTTAGAAGAACGTTTAGTTGCCGCTGAGAAAGAAATAAAGGCTGCCAATCTGGATCAACGAATTCGCGCATTGACGGATGCGAAAAATCTACAAACGCAGTGGGTTAAAAATTATGAAGATGAGGTTAGCAGACTGCGAATCGAAGTGGAGAACATTGATGATATTCGAAAGGCTTTACCAACTGATTGTTATCAACGCGTCCGTCTTGAGCCTTGAAATTTATCTTTTTACACATTATTCATTTTTGTATCATTTTTTAAGAAGTATATTATAAGCTATACGAAATGTTTCAAGTGTATATCCTTAACGTTAAGATTCAAAGATTTAAAACATTTTTTTAGGTCAAGGATCTTTTTAAATCGTTAAAACTACGATTTTTTAAAAGAGGATATTAGAATTTTATAATATGATAATATTTAACAATTCAGATTAGATTTTTCAGCAATAAGCAAACTTCTTAAATAATAACATAAAGATGAACAAGTTTTTATAATCTTCAAAATTTTAAAGAAATCTACTTAATAATTTTAAACAAATACACTTAATGATTACTTACATAGATTCTTAATGATAAAAATTTCGTGATTTGCAAGGATACGATTAAGAATTATTTAATAGACTTTTGATACACATCTTTTTCCAAGCAAATAAATTTTTATAAATTCTAAATGGCATTCTTAAATAATCTACATAAAAGGCATTTTGCATGTTAGGCTAGGGATGAATTTTGTGCATAAATACATATGCACGCAATGGCAATAATAAACATTTCATACCAAAGATTCTTTTATAGTATATATGTTTGGATTTATCATTCAATTTACATCTCTTCTCTATTATATTTGTTATAATGGTTATTAATCATGTATAAATATGTATATAGATTGTGTACATCCATAACATGTAACTGCCATGTCAATGCATGTTAGTACATTATTTGCAATGATATAGAATTTAAGAAAACAATTATGTTAATTTTAGACATGTTTTTCGGCCTTTACGAGATAGTGGAACAATGAAAAAGAGAATAACGTGAGTAATCAAAAAGGTAATAGCAAAGCTATAATTTCTGGGATAATGAAAAGACAAATCGATATAAGAATACAGTTAAAAAATCCATTTTTATATTAAAATAGAAATAAAATAAAAGATCTATTTTTCCCTGTATATTAGTAGAAAAACACCGAAAAAAATATATATACAGTTTAGAGTAATATAATCATAGCATTTTATTATCATAAACAATCATTCATGTTGCTATGAAATTTGCCTAATCACTCAGATAATCGAGACTAGTTTACGTATAGATTATATTTTTATATAGGCAAGATAAAAACAAAATAAAAGAACATTTTTATATGAAAACGTTCTACAGATTGTAATGTTTAAGGAAAATAAATATTTTGAAAATAATTATAAGGGATAACATTATTATCATTAATTATGCATGCTATATAGGAAATTTAAGTGTTAGGTTGATGTTATACAACATTTTATATATATATAATATATATATATATATATATATATATATATATATATTTCTTGCAATTATTCACGAAGTTGATTGAAATGTTTCATAACTTTACATCACACGTGCGTGGAAAGTGGTCCATTACGCGCGTGTTTTTTGTGCGACAAATAGCCAATTCCACACACGAGAAATTTTCCACTCGAAACAGTGCGGTAATATCTCATTATATTATTGGAAGAAAAAATTAGAAAGGATAATATATATCTAAATAGCATTTAAAAATTTTTAAAACGTTCGATCAACTTCATAAATCACTAATATCTTCCAAACAAAGAAAAAACATATTTAAGATTAGAGATGTTTTGTTAGCGAAGAAACAATTTTAATATATTTTATATATTACATAACATTATAACTATAATATATGATATGAATATATATACTTAATTAGTTTATATAGGCAATTATAGAAAATACTATTGCATTTATTACTGGTGAATGACATTTAAGAGAAGACCATTATAAATTATTATAACTCTGTATTTATTTCTAATATTCATAAAATTTCACTATCAGTAATAGGTCAAACGGACTTAGATTACACTTAAAGCTACAAAAGAAATCTTTATCATAGGAAAGGAAAAAAGAGGGAAGAAGCTGGAAGAGACGAGAGATGATTCATTTAATTATGAATAAAATGATTAAAAACACCAATATAGCAGTCAACACTCCAATGGCTACCCATTGTCCCCGATCTAAAACAAACGGAAAGTAACATCACATGCGTCACTCGAGATTCTTACGAGATCGATGCGAATCACGAGATTAAATTGCGATTATGTTTTTTATCGAGACATTCGTGATTAACGATAACATCCTGACAAGATTACGTCGAAATTCTGGAATTTCGACTTTTTGACATTTATTCTCTTCAAGTTTGCCCGTAAAAAAACATGGCAAAACATTCTTTGTTATTTAACTTTAAACGTGGTAAAATTACAGGAATAAAAAAAAACACTATTTTGATGAGATCAATATTTATATAATTACTCACGAAATTGTGATCAAAATTTCAAAAATTATTTAGGAACATAACATATCACACATCATTATTACACATTATTGCTACTAATTATTATTGCATCTTTAGTATACGTTACTTTAAAAATTTTTTATGAGATTTTTAAAGCATTTGACCAGATACGAATAGATAATTTCGTGAGAAATCAATTTAAAAAAAATTAAGGAAGTAGGAATATTTACAGTTGTTTATAGCTCACAATACAAATTGGTTCTTATGTTTTATTCGTCAATGTATTCTATTTCTTTCTTTTTTCACAATTGGTCGTCGACGAGAAAAAGAGATAACAATAAAACTACATCTTTATTCGATTACATTTACAATCTACGCTCTTCTTTTCAATTCACACAGATATACTAACTGTCTCATGCAACTGCCTTCGCGCCATCAAAGAAAAATATATAATTTTTATTATGTGTATGCTTTATATGTATTTTAACACATTTTTCTTATACTTCTTTTCAGTTTTGCAAATTTCTTACTCTGGTCATGAAAAAGTTATATTTTTTCACATTCTTCAATTTTAAGATAATCTCTAATAAAATAATTTATACAAGAGTTTTCTGTCTTCTTGAATATTAATTCTGAAATAAATTAACAATTGTTTGAAAACCTATTTAATTTTTAAATTTCTTTAATTTAAACCTTCAAATTTTGTATTTCCAGATTCTTGAAAGTCTTAAATTCTTCGACTATTTTATATTCACGTTTTCGATTTCGAGCAAGATTTGATTTCTTAGACATTATATATACTTATTTATTCTAAAGTTTTAAAATTGTTGCTTTTTATTTTAATTTTTTACTTTGAAAGTGGGATTCTAATCTTTCAAATCAGCTTCTTTACATATTTAGATATTTAATTGTTTTTAAATTCATAAATTTTTCAATTATTTTTCATATTTTGTTTTTTTTTTTTAATTATGTAAAATGTTTATCTTTTACTAAAAAATTTATTTGATTTATTTCTTCAATATTCTCACGGATATAGAACTAAGATAGTTTTCAAGATTATCCTGTATTTTTGCAATGCTTAACCCTAGAACACCACACTGGGTATAGCACACCTACGTTTGTTATTAAAATACCCGCCGTTTCTATATAGTGAAAGTTAGAAAATCAAAGTAGTAAGGCAAATAAACTTTTGTTCCCCCTCTACGATTCTTCACGCTGCGCAGCCTCATCTGCCGTAGATGTATGACATGTCATTAAAAACAATGTTGGGTGTGCTACACCCATGTGTGGTGTGAATGCTTTTACGTCATAGTCAACTTTTGTCATGTCTAAACAATATATTTTTTAAAGAAATAGTTATTTTTTATTTCTTTCTGAAAATTACATCCTTTACCTTCAACAAATGAATCTTTTTATATAATACAACGTTAAAAGAAGAAGTAATTTTTTAGAAGCAAATAGCGCTTTTTGGTGAGTCAGAAAATTTCTACTCGGGCTTTTTCTGAAATTAACTTTTGTTTTTACTTAAATGTTAATCGTAATTATAATGATACAGGCGCGTTCTTGACATTCTGGTGTTTAAATTAAGAAAAAAAAGACATGTTCAAAAATATCGACTTTTCGAAAAATTATTGATAATTGAAATTACACTGGGTATTATACATATACACCCAGTGGTGGATTCAGGGTAAATATGCAGTATAGCGTCAACCTCTCCGATTTTGTTGAAACTTTGTTATTTTGTGTATTTTGGGTTAAAAAAAAGATTCTGAGAAGGAAAATCGTCGCTCATGTTCCGTTTGTTTATATGAGGTTTTGCGCAAAGTACGTGCTAATATTCCAAGATATGGAACAAGGGAAGTCCATTTAATTGGATATTTAGCCAAGTTCCAATTTAAAAAAAAATTTTGTCGAAATGAACGTATTCCCAATTTTTTAAAAATAATTAGTGAATTGTATCCTATTACGTCATAATTATATATTTCAAAATTATAATTGTTAAGATTTTCCACCCGTAAGGCGAGCACTTTGTTTGATTATTGCGCATGCGTATTAATAAAAAAGTAAAAATACATACATAAATTGTCAATTTCTTACTTACCGACATTGAAATATTATAAATATTAATTATAAACAAATGGAACATGAGCGACGATTTTCCTTCTTAGAATCTTTTTTTCTACCCAAAATACACAAAATAAAAAAGTTTCAACAAAATCGGAGAGGTTGGCGCTATACTGCATATTTACTATTTAGGTCTTTGTGTATTGTAATATCTTGAGCTCTAAAATTTACATCGGTCGATATAATATATTTATCTACCACGATCTATGCCACAAAACATTACTTGTTTGCATCTAATTAAAGGATCTTATTTTCTTATTTTATTTTCATCTTTATTTTATTTCTACTTACAACTAGTGCTAATCGTAATTAGTGAAAAAAGCATAACAAAAATGCAAATCGTGATTAATGTCACTGGATGCCAAAACAAAAAAATGTTAATAAAGATTTAGATTGTTTCTTTATTAGTAGAGAAAAGCGCCCTATTATGATAGGATCCTAATATGAATCGGCAGGGTTTTTTCATGATGGGTTCAACAGATGGGGCCTATATAGGGCCGTTTAACTTAACATATCTCATGTTAGGATCCTATCTCATATAATAGGGCATTTTCCTTTACTATTTATAAAATTGGCCAATAATTTACAAAATTTTTCTAAATTATGTCTGGATATTAGAATTAAAAAAAAGAAAGCTACTCAATTGTCTTCAATTATTATAATATTTGTTAAAACTGGTTACCAATTATTATTAGTATTAACTCGTTATTAGCCAGTAATAAGTTAATTACTTACTACAAATTATTAATAAATTCTTGATTTTTAAAATTACCAAGGAGTATTTATTAATGAATAACAAAATTACTATTATTAAAATAATTCAATAAACATTTAATTAAAACAAAAATATAATGAAAAATAGAATAAAAAATGTAATTAATGATACAATAACAAAAAACTATCCTTTTAAAATAATTTAGACATAATTTAGTAAACTAGACATCACAGACGCGCGCTTCGCGCGCGCTATTTAGCTTTAATATTACACACAACTGTCAAAATATGCTATGACAGCCGCTCACGAAGTTAGCGCAGCAACAGAATCAATCAGCATCGCGGAAAAGAGCCAACAAAGCAATTCGAGACTTTCGAGAAGACTTCGAGAGATGCGAGTATCGATTTAACATGCCTTTTTTTAGAAAGGATAATCGTAGAACGAATAATGATATTAGTCCAGATTATATAAAACCAAATTTTGCACTAATATATTACAATATCTACATTACATATAGGCTATTCATGTGCAACATCTCCCTTTCTTCAACGATAGAGTTTTAAACAAATTTAAAACTGATATTTTTCTAATTTAATGAGAAACTGTTGTGTCTCTTTTAAATTTCTAAATATTTCTCCTAAAAATTCTAAAAATTGTGCTTGTTACATAAAACTCAAATTTGTGCTACAAATATGTAGAATTAAGTACCTATACTCTCCCGATTTTCAATAACCACATTTCCTTCATCTAAACAAATGTTTTAAAGAATAATTGAATTGTTAAAAAACAATTCAATGACGTCAATAAAAAGTACTGTAACTTTTTAAAACCATTGTTTTTGTATCCTCTTTTTAATTATATATATTTCATATTTATATTTATATATATACGTTTGTATATATTTCAACTTATACATTTAACGTTTTATATTTTGCTTGTATTTTTAAAATCATTTAAGATTGAAAATATATCCAAAAATGCAGTTACAATATCTTTTATCGGTAACCTCAAATTGTTTAAGGGCGCAAGACAATTAACACGACAATTAATCGCTGGAACACAGAAAACAATTGGCGATCGTAGTTGACAGGGAGGAGAGAGAGGAGGGTTTGTTATCAGAGACGAGATCAGTGACGCTGGATGTCACCGGGGTAGTAGGGGCGGGAATGTAATTGTTATAGTTACCATTACTCATGTGCAGCACTTTGGCCATCTTCTTCATAGTAGCGTCCAACTTGGAGTCCGTCGTCTCTAATTCATTCCCAAATTCATCCAACATCCTGCAAAAAAATTTATCTTGACGCGTCATAATAACAATGTAATAAGTAATAATTATTGTTATTACCAATATTATTATTATTATATGTATATAATTAATTATATATATATATTATATACAGAGTGTCCTGTGACTCGAGGTCCATACATTAAGAGCATATTATTCAAATCATTTAGAATTGAAATTGTTTAATAAATGTATGTCTGTAAATGCTTCCTATCAGAACTACAACCATTGAAAGTTGATGTAAATATTTGAAAAAAAGAAAGACATTTAATTTAATTTGTTTATTTACAAATGTATTACAAATATATTTACAAATTCTGTTCAAAATTATCTCCTGCAGATTCAATACAAAATCTTGCCTTGCATAAAAGTGATTTAACAGCTCGATCTACCATGCCAGGAGAATTTCTTATTCCCATTGCTGCATCCATAATTCTGTCCACAAGTTCATTCCTATTGTAAGATTGTTCTGCATAAACTATTGACTTCATATATGTCCCCAAAGAAAGTAGTCCAAGGATATTTATTTGAAAATGTTTCAAATATTTACATCAACTTTCAATTATTGTAATTCTGTTAGAAAGCATTTACAGACATATGTTTATTAAATTTCAACTCTAAATGACTTCAATAACATGTCCTCAATGTATGGACCTCAAGTTATGGGATACTCTGTATACATATTATTATATTAATTTTATTTATATTTATTACATTATTATAATTATATATAAAGAATACAGGAGAAAAGCGATCAAAGTCTAAACTACATAATATGTAATTTCCAACATTTCAATTACAAGAATAGTCATAATATTGATTTTATAATATTGATATTCTGTGTATGATCTTTTAAGCAACTGAAGAGAATGATGAAAGAAACATTTGCTTACACAGCTTGTTCATCCAGTTCACTGTTGATTTGCCTGGATACTGTTTTTAATGTACCAACTGTTTCTCCAATCATGTCTAACTGTTCGTCCTGCTGCCTTATCATAGCATTCTGCTGCTGCATCGTATCACTGAAAAACTGTCTGTTTGGACTATCTATTTCGTTTTCTAGTTTGCTGTATTTAGTAGTGCCATGATTGGCCGGCACTCTTGCTGGGCTGTTGTCCAAAAGTGGCTAAAAATAAATAATATATCAAATATCATAATATAATTATCGTGGATTTATAACAAACACATAAAAATTGTTAAAAAATCAATATAAAATAAATTTACTTTATAACAAACACATAAAAATTGTTAAAAAATCAGTATAAAATAAATTTACTTTACTTATTTATATACACTTTCAGACTGTACATGCACTTATTGCATATCTAATGCTTAAAATTTGATAACTGCTAAGTTATTAATAAAAGGAACACAAATATATGAAATTTATTATAAATCAAATAATAAGCAAGGAATAAAAATTGTTTTCTGCAAATTCTCAGAAGCATGATTTTCTCTCCGATAAATATTAGTTATTGCGAAACTTAGTGAAGCTTAGTAATGAACAATTTGAATACCGTGTATACCATTATCGTTTGCGAGGGTTGGCAAATCAATTTATTAATTCTATAATTACGTGAACCGTCAAAATAACGCTAATTGATAAGACATGACGAATCACTTCTTTGAGGTTAGAATCACTGAAATGCGTCAACTAATAGCAAATTGTTCAATACTGACAAAAAATTGGACGCAATACCGATAGATGTCACTGTCACTGAATAAAGCTAAAGATAACTGTGAATTGTGTGTTTATAAACAATTTAATTTTAACTTTAAAAAATCCACGTTTATCATAATAAAAATAATTGAATATAATTATTTTAATATCTTCAAAACACATAAGAAAATTATTATTTTTATTAGTTCATCGTTAATTTGTATTTTTGTGTATAGATAGAGTGAGCATACGAAGAAAAATCTGCAATTCAGAATGTAGATTTAAATTAAATCTAATAAAAAAATTCGTATTTGATTCAAATTAAAATGCAAACTTGAATTCAAATTTAGACTCCAATTCGCGGCGTATGCTAGGATACAGTGTTTTTGTAATAAAAAGATAGTAGAAACCTTTTACTTTACCCGTATGTATATACAGGGTGATTCAGAAATACTTGTGCAAACTTTGTGGATGAGTTCTTCACATATAAACAAGAAAAAAATGTATACACATATGTCCGGAAATACCCAGTTTATGAATTATAATCGAAAGATTACTTTCGATAAAAACTGATAGAATATACATCTACAATGACACATGACCAATGTAATACACCTTTAGTTCAATTGTTTATCTACTTATAATTCAAGCTATATCCACACAAACTTGCATAAGCCCATAAACATAAGCATAAGAGAATTGATTGGTCCATATGCATGTGCATAAGGAAATAGACCAATCCGTTTCTTTCTGCATATGGTTATGCACCTATGCAAGTTTGTCTGGATAGACCTTTAAGGGGATTCTGCAGCCGTATGATTTACCGACATTATCGTTTTTCGATGGATCTTTTAATTGGCTTTACAGAATTGCAAGTTTTTGGTCTAGAATTAAAGTACGCACAAAAATATAGGGTAGAAAACGTGATTTTATATCAAAAACACCAAAAAATTAAAAATATTACTTATTTGGGCACATACGCAGCTGTCACCTGACGACAATATTTGCTTAAAACAAATATTCTGCAGTTTATACATACATAATTTTTATCATCTGCCCTTGGGAAAACATGTAGGAATAATATCATGCAAGTAGAAGTAAGATTCAATGCGTACAAAAAAAGATCCATCGAAAAATTATTTTAGTAATGCAAATACGGATGCAAATGACAAGAAGAGCAGCAACAGTAGCTGCCGGATCTTGCGAGAGATGGCGAGCAATCAAAAAAAGGACAGATGTTATTTTGTTAGACAAAGACAGATATAGGGAAAACAAAATTAGAAAGGTTGACATTATCGACATCGAGGAAGTTCGCCAGTCACTGCAGGATCCCCTTAACAAATGCTCAAAATGTCCTCCACCTGCTTCAATGCACGCATGGACACGTCAAATCATAGACTGTCGCAGATCCTTTCAAAGATTCAATGAAGGTTGCAGATGATTTTGCAAGCATCTACGATGCGTTGGTGAAGTGTTTCTTCATTTACAATTTTAGTTATATAATGTAGGACTTTTATATAAGGGGATCCTAAACTGATCCAAATTACCGACAATTGCAGGAAAGCTCCAACTTTGAGTAGACTGCACAGAACTTAAAAAAATTTGTACACAAATAAAATATGCACGAAAATACATCGCGCGAGTGTTGATTTCAAGACAAAAATCGGAAAAAATTTTAAAAATACATTTTTGAGCTGTCACCTACCGTAAACGCCGTTTGCTTAATACAGGAGTTATGCAGTTTGTATGTACAAAATAAGATACACGCGCCATTCGTATAATGTGAACAAAGGATACTTTACATGAAAAACTAAAATTAAAAACGTAACAAAAAAGTTCGAGCTTTCGTTACTATTTTGTGCAAAAGCACATGCAGGTTGATAGGATAAGCAATATTGCATGTAGTGAGAGATGGCGCAGCGATCGAACAAGGACAGATTACTATAGTTAAACAAGGACACGTATAGAGAAAACAGGATTAGAAATGTTGACATTAGTTGCTTTCCATTTACATCAAAACTCAGATAATTCTCACTTGTGATGTCATTCTGTCTTTATTATTCATTAATTCCCAAAAAGGATAGATCGACGTCACAAGTGAGAATTAGCTGAGTTTTGATGTAAATGGAAAGCACCTATTATCGACATCGAGGAAGTTCGGCCGTCGCTATAGGATCCCCTTAAGTGTGCCTACAGATAAAAATCTAATGGATTTAGATCAGGCGAACGTGCAGGCCTGAAATGTAATACTTCGATCATAACTCATAAACCAGACATTTCCGGACATACATGTATGAACATTTTTTCTTGTTTATGTGTAGGGAATTTACTCCCAAAGGTTGTACAAGTATTTCTGAATTACCTTGTATATCCGTAAAAAAGACATGTAGTTGCATATTGCAAATTGCATAATTTTTTTTGCAAAGCAACTATGTGTTTTTTTTACACCAATTAATTCATCTTATTACTTTGTACATAAAAGTGTTAAAGTACAATTACTAAAAAATGAATAATTTATGAGATATTTTATTTCATGTCAAAATATGCCAGAATTTGAAATATTTGATAAACTATTCATTTTTTAATAACTCTACCTTAATAACTTTTACGTAAAATAATTTTATATGTAGAATAATTAGAAGAATCATATTATGCAAAAAAGCATACAATTCTATTTAAAAAGATAATGATGACCTTTATGTGAGCTTAAAAAATCGATAATTCTCTTATTATTTAAAAAATCGAATTTTTCGAAAATTTGTTTTACTGTTATTTGTTCTCCTTGATATCCTACAACTTTTGTCTAAAACGTTTTTCAATATCTTCCATATTTTTCGAGATATTTGTCTGGGATAATTAAAATGGGACATCTTGTACATTTATAACATGTAAGGAAGTACCACAGACTTCTATTATAATTTAATCTGTGGAAGTACAGATTAAATTATAAAGAATTCAATTTATGGCATATTATCGTATTATTCAGTGTGGCATATTATTTAGGATGTATGTACAAGGTTCGTATGTAATACAAGTGTTATTAAATGCTATAGAATAGTATTAATGCGTAAAAGCTGTACATTCTTAATGAAAAAAAAGATTAATGATAGGAAATCGTTTATTGATATGATTCTTTCAAATCTAATACTAAACGATTAAAATTGCAAAATTTGCCGAATACATCTCTCGACTTATTTTTCTTTCTCCCTTTGACTTCTTTTACTTTCTTCTACTATTTCTTCTGTTTCATGCCGATTATTCAGACCTGCCCAGCGAGAAATGACCCATCGAATCGACGTCTATCGATGTCTAATTAGACGTCGCGGTCGATTCGATGGGTCATTTCCGGCTGTTTATGTTCTTCGACTGTTTTCCGATCGCAATGTCTGTACAACTTAATACTTGGCATGCTAAATAGACTGCTAATTATAATGTGATAAAATAACGTAAAGCGAAACGCAATATACACAAACCTGTCTTGCCGTGCTGTCGCGATCCCGGCATCTGCTTAAGTTCAGTTTGTCCTTCATGATCTGCGAAATGTTTAATAAGCGATAGTAGCATTAAGATGATATTAGTTTTGAGCGCTTTTGTGAACGTGTTAATACATGTAACAAAGCATTTGCGTGACTATGAATCGTAATAGCAAATGTAGCGAGATATAATCGCAGTGATTAGGTACAATAAATTATAATGTGTGTTATGTTATTATCTATATATTATAATTCTTATATATAAGTGATAGTGATTATTATATTAATGCATTAAAAATTTAATAATCATAGTATAGGGCAATTGATTTCAGTTAATTGCCGAAGTATCTTGAAAAGAATATTTGTCTCCGTATACAGAATGATTATATTAAGTAACAATTAAGTATTTAATTAATTACCTTGACTTCTTCTCGTGCCTGCTCGATGAAGCTCCGTTGAACTGTCAACTCCTTGTTGTCAATCTTGAACTTTGTTGGATTTTTCTCAACAATACGTGCACACGTATTAAGGACGACATAGAAAGACAAAATTCAAATTACAAAATAAATTTAAATCTAATTTTATTAACATTTACATCTGAATTTATATCTAAATTTCCATTTCAAACTGGAATTCATTTAAGCGCAAATTTGAAGTCAAATCCAAACTTCAGTACACATCCGTGTTCACGTGGATCAAATTCAAATTTGAGTGTCGTTAAATTGGAAAGTTTCAGATTGGAAAAGGATATAGATAGTGTCCTCGAGATCGTCGAGGTCCCATTCAATGGAACGAAGCGCCTTCCGCAGCTCAGTGGTGGTCCAATCGAGTTCATCTGTACGCGAGATCGCTGTGGCCGATCCGCTCAGCGGCATACTGCCGGTCGGCGACGTGATCGCGACATTCTGCAGCTCGCTCCAACGCCCGTACAAGCCGCGATTCTTATTCAACGCCTTGCACACCTCGCTGAAACAATCCGGGCCAATTAAGACTTGCCACCAGCCACGTTTAATAGCCTACATCTAAACAAATTCGCACAAGCATCGTATAAATCAATCAATGATGCGTCCAGTATAAGAAAGATACGCAATTCAAATTTAAATCAACATTCAATCCAAAATCAATTCAGATTTTAAATCGCAATTTAAATTCAAATGATATCTGATCAAACTCTACTATTTATGCTCAAACACATATACATTTATATTCATCTAAATTCATGTATGTATATTTACATATAAAGTATGTGAGATATCTCTATAAATATATTTTTATGCAGTCATACAAGTTAATCCTTCTTTTGATTTTTGCTTAAAGATTATTAGACAATTGGAGTTGCCCTTGCAATTCTGTATTTATATATTACGTAATTGCATTAAATGAATAACGCGAATTAGTTTAAACGTCCACACAAAATGTAGGGAGGTCCAGGTTCGAATCCTGGCTGGGGTTTTATTTTTCACAACATATCTTTTATGTGTATTTGGTATCCTATCCTATACATTCATTATTTCCACATACCGTATGTTTCCAATTTTCTGAAGATTGTGTTAGTGTGATTAAATTGATAGGTCAATTTAATTATGTGATACCGTGTTAGGTTTTATTAAGACTGCGTTTTAAAACTGTTAAGTAACGGCGTATGGTTTGCTAAAATGAAGAATTATACGCAAATAATTATTAGGCTACCAAAATCCAGTCCTGACATTCGAATTGGCGTTTCCTCTAAATTGATTGTATATTATAGCAGTCGTGTTTCACTTATTATTATTGAATAATACAATATAATTTAAAACAAAAAATATATATATTACGTAATACTCTCTATTAAATTATTGACATCTGTTATTTTTCGTGGCGCTATTTTAAATAAACTCTGAATTAAACTTTACAAAAAGAAATTACATTCTTTCGTTCGAAGACTTCACTGAATTATTATGCTACCTATGAATAGTATGAATATTAATATTGCGAAGAAATTTGGAAATATTTTCGTTGAGCTGTTCAATTTTTAGGAAAAAAAAATTATAGACTAGAACTCCTAATATCTCTAATAAAGAAATCGCCATTCCGCCAATGATTTCTTCCGTCGAAGAAATTACGCCGACAGATCCTGTCGCCAGAGATCTCGTCAACGCGCAACATCGTGTAACATTTATACGGAGAAACCATCACGCGTATCGGCTGTCACGAGTTCGAGTATTGTATCTGTTCGGAGCAATATGTGTCAGCTGGAGATAACTACCGCGCTGCGAAGCGTTTCTTAAAACACGAGGCGATAACGGTCCCGTTAATCCGTTATCGCGGTAAATTCGCCTCTAATCCGGCGATATTACGTCGATACAAATTCTTATCGGCGTCGCCGTTATCGGCGTTTGCAAGCGCTCGCTTCTATCCCGCGCGCTCACTCACGCACGATCACTACCCCCTCCCCCATCGTCTCCCTTTTCTAACCCTTTCCCCATCAAAAAATCACGGCGACGACACACAGAGGGATCTATGCGCTCTCGAAACGCGGTCCCCTCTTTCCTTTCTTTTTGTTTTTCTCGTCGTGTTTGCGCGACGCACGTCGCCTGAGAAAACAATCGATGCGACACTCGCTCGCGGCGCACTTACTCCTTGACGACAAAGAACGGATTTTCTAGCGTCATTCCTCTATCCGCTCCGTCTTTGAATTTAGAGCCTGGGCCGCGGCCTGTCTCGCCGCGACGGCCGCGCGGCACCCTCGATGGAAGCGCGTTCGCGCCTCGGCCGCTCGCTCATCGGTGGGACGAGATTCCAAGCGCGATCAGTGGTCCCCCCGAGGATTTCGGCGCGCTTGTTAAACTTTGCAATCACGGGAGCTGCAGCCGCGCAGCAAACCCGTGTTCGTCTGGTGGCCTACGGCGGGAGTGCGCGGCACTGCGCGTACGGACTACGGAGTACGGAGTACGGACGGTGTCGTGACCGCGTGAGAGCGATCTCGGATATCGGTGTGCCCTCCCCCCCCCGCTAGCTCCTGCTCGCACTAGCAGCGTAGCGTTGCCGTGATGTGACGTGTGTGACGTCTGCTCCGGCTCCGGCGTCGCGCACCACTATTTATTCGACTCATCCTCGCAGACGTGCGCGCCCCGTCGTGGCGCGTCACGGCACGACGCCGCGCGACGTTCGCTACGCTGCCACGCAGCGCTAGTCGCCGCGATATTGAGCGCGTTAGCAGACCAAGCCGCTCAGTAGCAGTCGAACGTGATTGGCTCTTACTTTTAGAACCAACCAATCAACGCAGAGTGTTGATAAGACGAACTCAACAAATTGTGTCTGCTGAACGCGGCCATTGATTCGCTGCACGAACATGTCGCGGCAACCAACGTATAGTTGGCAAACAAATTAAAAATTATTTATAATTATCTTTTCCAATCGTTTGGAAATTATTTGAAGGGAAAAAACTTTTTAGAGTTTGGAAAACCATGTCTAAAAATTTTTTTTTATCCAATCGCTCCAGAATCATTTGGATAAAGTGTCGAAATATATTTTATTGTTTGGAAAACTACTCTATTTTAATAAAAATTAAGGGGGTATTCTACTCTAGCACGCTTTTTTCGGGATTTTTTTTACAAGAAACCAGTGAAAATTGTTAATATCAGCTTTTTATGTATATTTATGTATATATTTTATTATCTTTAGAGAACATAAAAAATATTTTTTGAAGCTGAATTAATGAATATAAATATTAATTAAACCCTATCGAATACATGGCAAAAAAACGGTGCCCATGATTGCGCCCATTCTGGTTGTCTGAAACAAAAAATTCAAAAAGATTATTAATTAGTATGAGTTTGGCTATAGCAGGAACTAGAATGGAATTAATTTTAAATCGAAAATTTAAAAAATGGCGGCAATTGAAAATTTAGTATGAATTTTCTTAATCTTTAGAAAATTGCCAAAATCGTAAAAAAATTTTTTTTTACTTAATTCTAGTTTCGGCTATAGCCAAACTCATACTAATTAAGAATCTTTTTGAATTTTTTGTTTCAGACAACCAGAATGAGCGCAATCATGGGCACCGTTTTTTTTTGCTATGTATTTGATAGGGTTTAATTAATATTTATATTCATTAATTCAGCTTCAAAAAATATTTTTTATGTTCTCTAAAGATAATAAAATATATACATAAGAAGCTGATATTAACAATTTTCACTGGTTTCTTATAAAAAAATTCCGAAAAAAGCGCGTTCTAGAGTAGAATACCCCCTTAAGCGGATCCTATAGCGAAGGCCGAACTTCCTCGACGTCGGTAATGTCAACATTTCTAATCCTGTTTTCTATGTTATATATCTATGTCTGTCCTTGTCTAACCAGAGGCATCTGTCTTTGTTCGATTGCTGCGCCATCTCTCGCTACACGCAATACTGCTTATCCTGTCAACCTAAATGTGCTTTTGCTTAATAAAACTTCATTTTACGGAATCTTTTTTTCTGGACGTTGAATCTTAGTTTTATTTACACGATATTGTTCCTACATGTTGTCCCTACGTCGCCTTGGTGTCATTATATATATATAAACTGCAGTAATTTTGTTATTGTCGTCAGATGACAGTTGTATGTGCCCAAATTAGTAAAATTTTTAATTTTTTTTTGTTCCCGATATGAAATCGTACAACGCGATGTAGATTTTTGTGCGTACTTTAATTCTAGACCAAAAACTTGCAATTCTGTAAAGCCAATTCAAAAATTCCTTAAAATGAAAAAATGTCGGTAACTACCGCCACTATAGGATCCCCTTAAGGGGATGCTGGAGCCGTCTGTTTTACCGGCATT